CAGTTTCCGCAGGAGTGGATTCAGGTTACACATTTTCAGCGGGGAGGCTACGAAAGTGAAGTAGAGGCAGGCGCTCACCGGAAGGTCGCGGTATCGGTCCGCCCATTGCTGGTGACGTCAGCTCCCACCTTCGGTGAAGCTGGTGTCTGCCAGGTTCCTTCACAATAGAGGAAGGTGTTGTTTGTTTGTTTGTTTTGTAAAGTCTCTCTATTTTTATTTTTGAATTACAGTTGACATTCAATATTATATTAGTTTCTGATGTACAACATAGTGATAAGATATTTACATAAATTACGAAGTGGTCCCCAGCCCCCCATAACTGACACCGTACAGTTATTACAAATTTGTCACCTACATTCCATGAGCTGTCCTTTACAACCCCGTGACTGTTCTATAACTACCCATTTGTGTTTCTTAATCCCTTCGCTTCATTCACCCATTTCCTCAACGGCCCCTCCCATTTGGCAACCATCAGTCTGTTCTCTGTATCTGTGAGTCTGTTTTAATTCTGTTTGTTTATTTTGTTATTTTGGTTCCACACATAAGTGAAATCATAGTATTTGTTCTTTCTCTGTCTGACTTTATAATCTCTTTGTGATTAGTAGCTATTCCATGGGGAAATTCAATCCAGTGATTTAATGTCCACTGAAGGTTCTTGCCCAAATCCCAATACCACGAAGGTTGCAAAATAGTGTTTTCTAACTCTGTAAATAAGAATTTTCTCTCTTATTAGTTATTTATTTTACAATATATTGGTATGTATTCACATTTTTTGAAATTCAACATGTCACCTGCCATTGCTTTTAGTAGTCATTTTGATGTTCCGATTGCCCCCAGTTGGACTATCAGGAATCTCTTTCAAGCTAGTTCCTGTGTTCTTGTTTGACATGTTCCTTTTTTTTTTTTTTTTTTTTTTTTTTGAGCACTTCCTTACTTTGTGGTATGAATACACTTTCACATGCCTTCATTTGAAGCCCCCGGCTTCAAATGAGCTATTTCTCTCAGGAGCCCAAGCTCCTTATATAGTGGGGGCATGATATTAGAGACCAGAATCTGGGTGCTAGGTGTGCTCATTGCCGCTGAGGTGTCGCTGCTTCTGGAGTCTTTCAGGAGACAAAGCTGGCAAATTAAATATATTTGTAAAATAGGAGCTCATACTGCACCTAAATACCAGAGGGTTCTTAAGTTGCTTTACTCCATTCTCACTTGTATCTTCCCTCTTTCAGAGAAAGAAGAGAACTCTAGCTCCCCAAAACATCAATATATTTACACACTTGCTCAACCTTACATTGTACACAGAATAACTTCAGAACTGTTACCCCCTAGACCTTAAGTAAGGTTCAAGATTTCTTTGATGATCTTCTTGTCTTTGGACTGAGATATATAACCAAAGTACCGTACTGATAAGTTACTAGGATTACAAATTTCCCCCTCCTGTGGTGGTACTCTTCATTTGATGTGAAGTCAGTTTTATTTGTGTTTGTCCATATTCAACTTTAGTTTTTTCCCATCCTTGCTGAAGTTATCTTTTGAATACATAAAATATTAGCATAGTTGCAAAGGTCAAAGCTCAGAGGAGTGCCACTTCCTCTCTATTGCTTGCTTCCTTCCTGTTCTCACCTGCCCTCTGTAGGTAATCAGCTGCATTTCTTTGCTTTCTTTCCTTTGTCTCTTATTGCAAAAAATAAACAGATGCATATATGTGTTCTTATGTACCCTTCTTTTTTTTGCTTAAAAGTAGCATCCTATGTACTCTTTTGCGCATTTTTTCTTACCTTAGTGATACAGTCTGGACTATCCCTGAACTCCATCCACATCAGTGCACAGAGCTCGACCTCATTCTCTTTGCACAGTGGCTCAGTGATCTGCTATGTGATGTTTTATAGATTATGTCATGAACCAAGGGCATCTGGGCTGTTTCTGATGTTTTGTAAATATGAACACTGCTGCAGTGAATTAACTTGTGCTTGTGAGGTTTCATTGAACAGATATCTTCATTGGACTCGTATCTTCAGAGCAGATTCCTTGCAGTGAGATTGCTGGGTTAAAGGATAAATACCTGTGTGGCTTTGTTAGTTATGGCCAAAATCCCGTGCATAGGGGCTGCGTTATTGTACAGCCCCACCAGTGACATGTAAGAGCTTTCATTCCCCTGGCCTCACTAAAAAAAAGTGTTGTGAAACTTTAAAAATTTTGTTTTAACTTATTGATTTAGAGAGAGAGGAAAGGAAAGAGAGAGGCTGGTTTGTTCTTCCACTTATTGATGCATCACTGGTTGATTCTTGTGTGTGCCCTGACTAGGAACCTTGGAGTACCAGGACAATGCTCTTAACCAACCGAGCTAGCCGGCCATGGATGTTGTGAAGCTTTTTAACTTTTGATGATCTAATGCATGAGACATGGTAGCGCCTCATAGTTTTCATCTGCATTTCTCTTACTTTGCATGAGAGAGCATGGTTTTGTGTGTATTTTTTTTTAAAGAGGGAGATCATGGAAGCCCTCTCTCAAGAAGTGAAAAGGAAGGAGAGAGCTAAATGAAGTGACAGAGAGAAATAGAGAAATCTGGGGGAAGGGCATTCCTGGGAGAGGGAAGAGCAAGTGCAAAGGCCCTGAGGTAGAAATGAGCTGGATCAAGGAAGAAAGAGAAAATCATGTGGTCTCAGTAGCGGGAGCAAAGAGAGACTGACCAGGGATGAGCCTGGCTGGCACCATGTGGGCATTGTGGTTCGGGGTTGGTCAAGTTTTCCTGTAGAAAAGCCAGACAATAAATATACTTTTACTGGCTTCACATTGCCTGTCGCAGCCACTTAACTTTGCCTCGACAGCCACAGGCAATGTGGAAATAAACTGGCTGTGTTCCAATAAAATTTCACTTACGGACCTTGAAATTTGAAATACAGAGACTTTTAAAATTAAGATATTATAATTCATATAACCTAAAATTCATATGATTCTGTGGCTTTTAGTATCTGCACAAAGTTATGCATCCCCATTACCTAATTTCACAACATTTTCATCACTCCCGAAAGAATCTTCACACCTTTTAACAGCCAGTCATACTCCCCCTTCACCCCATTCCCTGGCAACCACTAATCTACTTTCTGTCTCTATGGATTTGTTTGTTTTGGACATTTCATATAAATGCAGCCATGCAATATGTGGTCTTTGCATCTGGCTTCTTTTACATAGCCTATTTTCTAGGTTCATCCATGCAGTGGCATAAATCAGTGCTGCTTTTTTCCTGGCTGTATAATATTCCTTTATATGGCTACACCAGTTGATGGGCATCTGGGTTGTTTCTCCTTTCCGGCCATTATGAATAATGCTGCTGCAAACATTCGGTACTAGTTTTAGTGTGGACGTAAGTTCCCAGTTCTCTTGGGTCAACATGTAGGAGTGAAATCGATGGGTCACGTGGTAATTTTATTTTATTTATTAAAAAAAATTGTATTTATTGACTTTGAGAGAGAGAGAGGAAGTGGGAGGAGAGAGAAACAAGACATAAATTTGTTGTTCTACTGCTTTCTGCATTCACTGGTTGATCCTTGTACGTGCCCTGACTGGGGATCAAACCCACAACCTTGGCGTATCCGGACAATGCTCTGACCAGCTGAGCTAGCCAGCCAGGGCATATCTTTAACGCTTTGAAAAACTGCCAAGTGCAATTTGCATGCCTTTTAGGTACCATAAAATACTGTTCCTTTGATTTTTTTGAAAAAAAAAACAATTTAGTTACATAAAAATCATTCTTAGCTAGTAGGCCATACAAAAAAAAGACCGCTGTTGTAGGCAATGGGAGGAATTTCTACTTATTCTGGGAGTGATGGGCACACAAGTGTTTATCTGTAGGATTCTGGGGGAAGATGCGGATGAGGATTACATTGATTAATTTAGGGAGCCTTGGTGTCCCTAAAAAGAAAGATCATCTTGAGGAAGTATTATTTGCCTTTTAAAAATTCTCAACCCAGACCTCCCCTCTCCACCTTCCTCATGTCCCTCTATTTCCTCCCCCGTACATGGAGGTTAAAAAGGGCACCTACTTGAAAGTGTTATGGTAAAGTCCGAATGAGTTAAAGCATATCTGACACTGAGAATAGTGCCTGGCACAGAGCAAGATCTCTATAAGCAGTAGTTGTTATCATTGATGTTGTTGGTATTATTATCGATCCCTTAGCTCAGACTTCCTCCTTCTCCCCCTGAAATATACAACTCCAGTGTCTCCCCTCCAGTCTCTTCTGAAAACCAACCAGCCCCAAAAGGATCTTCTTACGTTCCCGTCTGGCCCTGTCTCTCCTCTGCTCCAGACCTTCCATGGCTCCCTAGTGCCCTGGGCTCCTCAGCCTGCATGTCAGACTCACCATGGCTGTGTCCCTGCCCCCTTCTCTGACCTCATTTCTTGTGGCTGCAGCCCATGTTGGAGCCACATGGATGGATCAGTTCAGGCCCAGCCTCCGAGCCTTTGCCCTTGCCCTGCCGTCTGCCCAGAGTGGTATCATGGACACTCTTATTCTTCCCTGGGCCGCTTCCTGTAGGACTTGGACAAAGGCCCTTCTCCCAGGAAGCTTTTCTGGGCTTCCCCTGACCCTGCCCTGAGTCTGCCGGTTGACCAGCATCCACATTTGCCTTCCCCAATGACATTGTGAGCTCCTGGACACGTATTTGAGCTGAGGGAGAAGGAGGGTGATTCATCTCTGGGATCTCTGCACTCACCCAAGGCCTAGCACACAAGGGCTGCAAAAGATGAAAGTTAGGCCCTGGCTGGGTAGCTTAGTTAGAGCACCGTCCCCATATGCCAAGGTTGCCAGTTCGATCCCTGGTCGGGGCAAATACGGGAATCAACCAGTGAATGCATCAATAAATGGAACAACGACGACGACAAAAGTGGTGGAAGTTAGCTCAGACCCCGGTAGGGAGGAGAGGGAGAGGACAGCGGTGGGAAGGTCCCGGCGGCGGAAGGAGGTCCACCGCTAGAGGACCAAGGGCATCCCCTGCTCCCCCAGGCCTCTCCTTGGTGGTGGGCTTGGTTCTTTACATTTCCAGCATCAATGACGAGGTCATGAACAGGCCCAGCAGCTCTGAGCAGTATTTCCACTATCGCTACGGGTGGTCTTTTGCCTTCGCCGCTTCCTCCTTCCTACTCAAAGAGGTGATGTCTTGGGGCCCCCATGAGAGCTTTGAATGGGGGGTGGTCTCGGGTCCAGGAGGAAGGGGAACCGGGGTGGCGGGGGGCGCCGGGGGTGCTGCATAGACTCTGGAGGAGTGGTGGCTGAGGTCCTAGAGGAGGAGGGGGCTGGGGACTTGGATTCCGGGGTCCCGGAAGGGGAGGGGGATGGGGACATGGACTCCTGGGGGGTCTCGAGAAGGAAGAAGCTGGAGGCCTGGAATCTTGGGTCCTGGGGGTCGTGAGTCTCGGGGTGAAGTACCCGGGGCCAGCCTCCGGGACCCCGACTCTGCCTTGCCACAGGGGGCTGGCGTGATGTCCGTGTACCTGTTCACCAAGCGCTATGCGGAGGAGGAGATGTACCGCCCGCATCCGGCCTTCTACCGCCCGCGTCTCAGCGACTGCTCCGACTACTCGGGCCAGTTCCTGCAGCCCGAGGCTTGGCGCCGCGGGCGCAGCCCCTCCGACATCTCCAGCGACGTGTCCATCCAGATGACGCAGAACTACCCTCCTGCCATCAAGTACCCAGACCACCTGCACATCTCCACCTCGCCCTGCTGAGGCCCTGCCCCTCGGAGCTCCCTTCCTTCTCCTCCTTAGGGGTCGCCCTGCGACGCAGCTCCCTGGCCTCCCGGCTCCTCCGGACTCGGCTTTCGCCTGGAGGGTGCGGCTCCCGCTTTGGCCCCGCCCTCTCCCAAGCGGCCACGCCCATCTCACGAATCCCCCTCCTCTTTTCAGTAGTCCCTCCCTTTTCCTGGCGCTTCCACCTCTTTGGGCTCGTTCACTTCCCGACGGCTCGATTGCCCGCCCCTTTGGGCTGAGGCCCCGCCCCCTCCTCGGGCGGCCCTCCCCGCTAAGTCGCTCCGGGGTTCCAGCGTGCGGGCGCCCACCTCCCTGGAGTCCCCCAACCTGCTGCCTCCCTGCAGGCGCTCTGGGCTGGAGAGCAGGGTCCGGCAGCCGCCAGGAATGCCAGCCATCCTCTTCTCCCTTCTGCCCCTCATTCTCTTCCCTGGCCCCATCTCACCTGCGGCCTGTCCCGTCGGGGGACTTTGAGCGCTTTGGCGAGGCCTCTGTGCTCCTCCCACCGCCCCGGGGTGGGTTGGGCTCTGTACGCAGTGGGTCTGTTTAATCTGGTCTCCCTCCCACACTCCCCTCTGTTCCCCTGGGAGACCCCCTTCTTTCTCACCGGCTGGGCTCTCCTGGGCCTCCTGAGGGTTACCTGCCTTTCAGGGGGCTCTGTCTAACCAATGTTCTTGCTTTCTCTGCTGCCCTAGCTTCTCTTTCTTCCTCCTCTTCTTCCTCTTCCTCCTCTAACTCTGTCCCGGTCCTCCTTTTCACCTGCACACCACACGACAAGGATGGAGACCCTAGGGTGAGGGAACTCTGTGCCACTTCCACACCTGTGCCCGCCTCTTCCCCCTCGAGGCTCCGTCGGGGGAGGGAGAGACAGTAGCGGGGGTCGACACCCCCCAAACCTCGAAGTCTTCCATTTTCTGGCGCTCCCTTTCATTGAAGTTCTCCTTCCCATCTCAGACCCCCAACTCTGGCCTCTTTCAAGGGTCCGTCCTCCCCCTTGGGCAGATTTGGGGGCGTCTCAGAAATTCGCCCACCCCCCCTTATTAGGGGAGGAGGGGCGAGGTAGCACAGCGTTGTACACGGAAGCAGAAAGGCCCCCCGGGGTGGGGGGAGGGAGGCAGGGGAGGGACGGGGGCTTTTAGTTTGCATCTTAGGTGGGAGGGGGGAGGGGAACCGCAGCAGTTAACCTGTCTTTACGCAGCGATTTTTAACGAGGCTGGGGGTAGGGGGGCTATGGGGGTGGGGAAAGGGTGGGTGGGGGGGCCTGGCTCTGTTATTTACCGTGTATCATATGTAAATACCAACAGAAACTTCAATAAACTTTATTTCAAACACGTCTCTGCCTGCCCCGGGGGAGGGCTTTGGCTACAGAGGGCTGGGGTCAGGTCTCTACCCCTAAGGTCAGGGAAAAAGGTTAGATTGGTATGTGTCAACCTGCTTGAGCCTCATCATTATTAACATCAGCACTTTATAATTCAGTCCGGGTAAAGCCTGTAGGACAGCAAATGACACGGGTCCGAACTAATAAAAATTAACTCTTGGTATTACCCTGACCACTTAGAGTAGTTCCTATGCCTCGCCTCTTTCCTGCATTCACCGTTTCGTTTAGTTTTCTCCCCAAGACTTCACATTGAGTTTGTTGGACCCGCTTTGCAGCTAGAGCCACAGAGGCGAAATGACTCCATCGGGGTCACCCAGGCAGAACTTGGCGGAGGCACGAGCCTTGAGGGAGCAGTGGGTTCTCCCAATGTGAGAGGCTCAGTCATTCTGTCGAGAAATAACTGTTACCGTTTATTGGACACCTACCATGAGCCGCACACATTCCTCTCGTACAGGATCCCCTGAGATGTTTCCAGCAGCGCTGGCGTAGGAATGATCACACAGACACACGCAGTGGGCTCGGCGGTTTGTGATCTCGCCGTCCACATTCAGGGACTAAAAACAGCCTGAGTGTTAGATAAACCTGTTCTTACGATGTGTGGAAAAGGAAACACAACACAGTCAAGCCCCCCGGTTCTCTGCCTTGTCTGGATTTAGCTTCTGCGGCGCACTCCACTCAGAACTTCAGCCACGCCCACCCTTGCCAAGCTGTCCTTCGGTGTCAGACACTGTGCTGAGCCCCCTGCCCTGGGACCTGGCTGCATTCTCTCAGCGGTCCTGTGAGTACCAGGCGTCCCTCAGAGCCCCATTCTGTAGGTGGAGAAACTGAGGCTCAAGGAGGTGAGGTCCCCCAGCTGGTAAGATGCTTAGGAACCTGGCCAGGTAGTTCAGTGAGTTGAAATGTCATCCCCATACACCAAGGCTGCGAGTTTGATCCCTGGTCAGGGTTACATACAAGAATCAACCAAAGAATGTGTGAATAAGTGAAACAACAAACTGATGTGCCTCTCTCTCCCCCTCCTTCATCATTTGAAAAAAGTACTAAGGAGAATTCATGCCCAGGCCTTTCTAACCCCAGAGTATTCTCTCCGCTGCCCCATTTGACTACTAGGAATTGGGTGCAAACTCATTCTGTGACCTTGAGCAAGTCTTCTAATCTCTGGGGCTTCAGTTTCTTTTTCTGTAACAGAGAAGTGGGATGGGCTAGAAGGGCTCCAAATCCTTCTGGAAGAGGGAGAGTTGGCGGGGGGGGGGGGGGGGGGTAGGTTAGCAGGAAAGAATTAAGATTCAGCAGGATCAGACTCCCTGGGGGAAATATTCTGAGTCATTTTCAGTGGTTTCAGGAATTTCTGGCGGTCATGCTTGAGATTTGGGATGGAAAATATGCTTCAGCTTCTTTGTCAAGATTAATTGATTCTTTGTGGCTGTCGGGGGAGCACAGCGTTGATAAGGATTTTGAGCGCCTGCTTGGTGGGGAAGGATGTCCCTATCCGTCGGTGCGTCGGTGCTGCCGGCTCTCCCGATCCCTCGATACTGTTGGTCCTGCTGGCGGGATGGGAGGTGGTGGTTCCAGTGCTGGGAATTTGCTGATTTTATCCAGGAGCTAACAACCCAAAGCCCTAAAGTTTATGTTCTCTTTTTTTAAATCAAGCCAGGTTGTTTTTTATTTTTATTTTATTTTTTGGGTTTTGCTTTTTACATTTTGAAAGGGAAAGTGGTTCCATAGTTAAAGATTTGCTTTTTTTAAAAAATTGTATTTATTGATTATTTTAGAGACAGGGGAAGGGGGGGAGAGAGAGAGAAACAGCAACTTGTTGTTTTACTTATTCATGCATTCATTAGTTGTTTCTTGTATGTCTTGACCGGGCATCGAACCCACAACCTTGGCGTATCCGGACAATGCTCTAACCATCTGAGGCACCCAGCCAGGGTTTGTTTGTTTGTTTGTTTTTAAGGAATGCTGTGAAAAGTCAGTCCTACTTCTGACCTCTTGACATCTGGAAACCCTGAAGTACTACCATCCTGTAATGTATAACTTCAAGAATACTATATGCACATTGAAATACACATGCCTGTATTTACATCCACACACCGGTGGATATGTCATCTATATGTACATGTTTACTGAATTCGGCATTTATCATCAACTGCACATAGTTCTGTACCTTTCCATTTCACGTGGCAATGTATTATGGAGATCACTTAGCATCAGTTACATAACTCTGCTTTACTGTTTTCTAAGGCTGCTTAATAACAATACTTTGCATAAATTAGTCGCATAATTTATCCAGTGTTGCCTTTGTGCCTGCCCCTTTGCATTCAAGCCCAAAGCAATTTACATTCAATAACCTAAGGAAGTCCGGCGCTTTTATTGTCACCCCCATTTTATAAATGCAATGCTGAGATGAAGAGGGATTGATTAACTTTCTCCTGGTCATGCAGCTGGTAAGGGGTCACGTTAAGACTTGAACCCTGGGAGTCTCCTGAGCCTGCCATGCTACCCACGAAGCCGTCTACCTCCGCGTGTACTGCAGCCCCTTGTTTCATCTGTTTGTCATCGTTTGTACGCAACGTTTTGCACTCAGTTCATGTATAGAACACTACGACACATCCGTGGTTCTCAGAGTGTGGCTCAGGGACCCTGGGCATCCCTGCGGTGTGTTTAAGGGGTCCATGACGTCTAAACCATTTTTATAATGATCCTGTGACACTGTTTGCCTTTTCAGTCTTAGTCTCTCAGGGGTGTAAGTCCAGGGTCTTTGGGTGGCTTCAGGGTGGGTGATGGCACCACAGAGGAAATGCCGAAGCAGGTACGAGAACCCAGCTTTCTTCCGTAAGGCCAATCACTGAGTAAATTTTCAAAAGTATAAGCCAATGTCCACGTATATGTGAAAATATATTCATTTTCCACTCAAGGAAGTCATTTATGTAAACATACAATGACTTCATTATTGCTTTACTTGAATGAGAACGTATTTCTTAAATCTTCATTTGAAGTTTGAACACATTGAATATTGATGGATATAACTTACATAAACCAAAGCTCTTTGGGGTCTCCTAAAATTTGTAAGTGCATGCGCACCGTCCTGAGGCCAAAAGGTCCAAGTATTCGGGTTGTATGTCATGGAGCAACATATCAGAAGTAAAGATGTCTCATCTTTTCAATGACTCTGTAGTGGTCCATTGAAGAGAAGTACCGAAGTTCCCCCTGCCCCGCAGGGGATATGCTCCAAGACCCTGAGTAGATTTCTGAAACCTCAGATGGTACTGAACCCTATATATAGTATGTTTGTTTCCAATACACACTCAACCTTTTCACGCAAGCCCTACAGCTTCTCTTTGGTGTATTGGAATTGCCAGAAGCATTACACTTGCTCTTTGAGACCCTTTTTCTTCCACACTGGAGGGACATTTTAAATTACTATTTATGTATTGATTTTAGAGAGGGAGGGAGGAAGGAAGGAGGAGAGAGAGATTTGTTGTTCCACTTATCGATGCATTCATCGGCTGATTCTTGTATGTGCCCTGACTAGGGATCAAACCTACAACCTTAGCAGGTGGGGATGATGCTCTAACCAACGGAACTACCTGGCCAGGGCCTTCTTTGGGGTCACTAGTAAGTAAAATAAGGATTACTTGACCATCAGCACCGTGACACAAGACAGTCGCTCTGACCATGGAGACGGCTGCTCGCAGGTGGGCAGTGTGCGTGGTGTGGAGATGCTGGGCGAAGGGGTGGTTCACGTCCTGGGTGGGGTGGGGCTGGGTGGTGACGGATTCCATCCTACTACTCAGAACAGCGCGTAATTTAAAATGTATAAACTGCTTATTCCTGGAATTTTCCATGTCAGGTTTTCTGTGTTAAATGCGGTATTTATTATTTTTAGAGAGAAGGGAAGGGAGGGAGAAAGAGAGGGAGAGAAACATCGGTGTGTGGTTGCTTCTCGTGCACCCCCGACTGGGGAGCTGGCCTGCCACCCAGGCCTGTGCCCTGACTGGGAATCGAACCTGCGACCCTTTGGTTCTCAGGCCGGCGCTCAATCCACCGAGCCACACCAGCCAGGGCTCCGTGTCACATTTTTGAACTGAGCTTGACCACAGGTAACTGTAACAGCGGAAAGCAAAAGGGAGGTGGCTACTGTAATTTAAGAATAAACTCATTTTTATTATAAATTTAGTCATGATTTTCAAATTTAAGCAGCGGAGAAGGGTAAAAAGAGAAAGTTCTTTCTTCTCCTTCCTCTCTTTTCCCAGAGGAAATCATTGTTGTCGGTTTCTTCTAGAGCACTGGGTATCCACTTGGAGGGTTTTTGTCCCCCTGGGACATAAAGCAACATGTAGGGACATTTTGGAGGTCACAACTTATAGGGGCTCCTATTAGCATCTAGTGGGTCAGGGATGCTGCTAAATATCCTACAACATGCAGGACGGCCCCCGTCACAAAGACGTACCAGTCCAAGATGTGACTAGTGCAGAGGCTGGGAAAACCTTGCTCTAGATGTTGGGTGTTTATATATATTCTCCCAGTTAATCTCTTCTGCTTTTACTTTTATTAACTCAAATGAGATCTTGCTCTGCCAATTTATGAGCCGTGATTCTTAACTCGTAACGGATGAGGGATCCCTTCGTGAAACAGAGCAAAGCTGGGGATGCCCAGAAGAGACCACCCATACTCCCAACATAGGCTAGATAATTCTATGTTGTGAGTATGTTGTATGTTATA